CATGCCAATGCTGTGGAAGCAGAAGAAGGCATAGGATCGCTAGAGCTGGGGTTACAGGAGGTTGTGAGCTGCCCCATGTAGGTGTTGGGAATCAAACTAGGGTCCTCTGAAGGAGTAAGAAGCGCTCTTAACCACAGCACCATCTCTCCAGTTCCCAACAGCAACATGTCAGTTTTTAAAGCTCAATAAAAACATACAACACTTTAAGTTGTCTTGGTTACTTTTCTATCGCTGTGATAAAAACACCACAACCAAGGCAACATATAAAAGGAAGTGTTTAACCTGGTTTATGAGTTCAGAGGGCTAGAGTCCCTGACAGCAGAGTGAAGGTATAAGGACTCTGTCCTTATTATGTCATCAGCCTGCGACGGCGTCCCAGCCTAAAAAGTGGGCGTGCCCTCCCACAGGCCCTCTTTCCGTATTTTCTCTGTACTTCGCACCCTGCAGTCTCTCTCTCTGTCTTTCTCTCTCTCTCTCCTTTCCCTCCCTCTCTCTCTCCTTCCTCCCAATAAAGCTCTAAAAAGGTAACCATGGCTCATGATTCTTCCACCACAGCAGCATCTAGCGCCAGCCACTAGCGCCGCGTACCCACTGCAATAGCCACGGCCAGCCAGGAGCGCTGTTTAACCCCTTCAGAAGGAACGGCTGAGAGCTCACATCTTGATCCACAACCATGAGGCAGAGAGAATGGGGGGAGACAGACAGACAGACACTAGGAATGGTCTAAGTCTTTTGAAACCTAACACACCTTCTCCAACAAGGCCACTCATCCCAATCCTTCCCAAACAGTTCCACCACCAGGGGGCTGAGTCATCAAATACAGGAGCCTAGGGGACCATTCTCATTCAAACCCCCACAAGGGCCAAAGCTCTTCTGCAATCCTCGACCTTAATCCCCTCAGACTAGCTAGAAAAGTCTGTGTCTGTTGTAAGAACACATGTACCTGACTGTATACCGAGGATGCAAATGGACCGAACTTGTGTGTTCTTCTACAACATTCTCTTTATTGGAAACATCACTTCCTTCAGCTTCCGTGTGGACTGTACATGCATCTCTTTCACTTTGCACTGAGTGGCTGAGTCAGATTTAACTCCTCCTCTATCGATGGACATCTTCATTATGAAGTTTTGCCTTTAAAGATGACATAGCCAAGAGTGTCCGTCACCACGGAGCTGCAGTTTTATGAGACTGCTCCCTAGTGGACCTTCTTGCTATTAACCTCCCAAGAGAAATCTCCCCACCTCTTCTTTGGTACTACTAATAGAACAAACTCAGTTTTTGTTCACCCAAAGCCCCAGGCCTCAGACTCGAGTCTTGATTGGTTTAAGTCAACCAGATGATTCCATTCCCAACACAATTAGTTGGTTAATGTCTGGGTATCTGGGTGCCATTCTGCTCGGTGGGAATAGCATTTTAAAGTGACTGGCAGTCTTAGAAAAACACAGGGCACACAGGGACATCGTGCAAGGCCATCATGCAGCATGTTGATTCTGCCTTTAGCCACCAGAGAACGTAATAATGAGAGGCAAAGAAGCTGAGAACGGGAGAGGGTGACGGAAAGAACCGCAAAGCTCTACTGAGTTGCCGACGAACCAATCCTGGAGCCGCACTACCTCTGGACCTCTTAGAAGTGGTTTTCTTTCAGGTAATTGAGGTAAATTAGGCTTCTGTTAGAGCCAAGAGCACCCTAACAAAGACAAGTTGGTTCAAAGGCAGTGTACAGACTTTATTATGCAAGGAATCCCAAACTAGCTTCTGTTTGTCCTCCTAGTATGATGCAGAGGAGTTTCAAAGCGCTGGCTGTGCCTTGCATCCTCTGGAATGGGAACTCTCCTGCCATGGAAGGTGAGGCTTCTCGGTACAGCTCTCCATCAGGTACCCCCGCCTACTGATGCACGTGGATGATACTGAATTAAATATAAACCCAGAAGTCCAACAAGGCTGAAGGCAGAGATCTGCCTGAGCATGCTTCTCAGCCTTCCTCATATCACATTGCAGGCAGGAAATGATCACATTTTAGGGCACTCTGGGGTAAGAGGGCAATATTCCTCAAAGCCAGTCACTTTCGGCCTAAGGATTCCAGTTGCCTTAGGTCTTGTGTGGTAAGGAAGAGAACAAGTTTGGTACCCATCAGAAACTCATTCATGGGCCACTGGTTTTGAGTGCTTCTTTAAAACGATTCACTGTGTTTAACTGATTCTAAACCTATCCCTCTCACATTTTAACATCTCTGAAATTCAGATGCCTCTTAAAAACCATGTGATGTCATCCATGATGTCACTTCTTACCCTCATCTATTGGCCCTTCCTGGTGAGGGCAAGGAAACCTCAT